AAAAAAAAAAAAAAAGGATGGTTGCATTTGTACTGAGCATGCACAAATTTTTCTTCTAAAATTATTCCCTAAATAATATAGTATAACAATGATTTACATAGGGTTTTTTTGTTGTTGTTTGATTGTTTGTTTGTTTTAAGACTGGGTCTCACTCTGTCACTCAGGCTGTAGCGTAGTGGTATGATCATGGTTGACTACAGCCTCAACCTCCTGGGCTCAAGCAATCCTCCCATGTCAGCCTCCCAAATAGCTGGGACTACAGGCATGCACCACCATGCCAGCTAATTTTTAAAATTTCTTTTGTGGGGACAAGGCTCTCACTATGTTGTCCAGGCTGGTCTCGAATTCCTGGGCTGAAGCAATCCTCTCACCTTGGCCTCCTAAAGTGCTGGGATTACAGGTGTGAGCTACTGTGCCTGGCCTTGAATTAGGTATTACAAATAATCTGGAGATGACTTAAATATATGGGAGGATGTGTATAGGCTAAATGCAAATACTACATCATTTTATATCAGGGATATAAGCATCTGTGGATTTGGGTATCGGTCAGGGAGGCTGGAACTAATCTCCTACAGATGCCAACGGGATCTGTCCACCTATTCATCCTTTGTTCACAGATGACTAATCTGTAATTTTTAGGGGGGTCTTTTTTTTCTGGCAGAGATGGGGTTATTAAAAACTTCTTTGCTGGGAATGAAATTGACACATGCTGCAAAATGGATGAACCTTGAGGATATTATGCCAAGTGAAGTAAGCCAGCCACAAAAGGACAAATATTGTATGATTCCACTTACATGAAGTATACAAAATAGGTAAATTCATAGAGATGGGAAGTCGATGGCGGGGAGTTACCTCTGTGGGTAGGCGACATGGGGAGTTAGTACTTGGTACAGAGTTTCTATCAGGGACGATGAAAGTTTTGGAAATAGTGGGGGATGATTGTACAATATTTTGAGTGTGATTAATGCTGCTGAATTGTATACTTAAAATGGTAAAAATGGCAAATTTTATGTTCTATATCTTCACACACATCTTTGCTGGAGCAGAAGCGAGAGGTTAGGTTCTGTCAGTGTTCCCATGGCTTTGCCTTCCCTTTTGTTTTTAAAAGAACAACCTCTATTTTTAGGGATTTTCACACAAAGGCTTGTGGGCGTGGGAAGTTCTCCCAGCTGCCCTCCTGTTTCTCAGAAACCCACATGGAAGCCTCGCAAGTTATTTAAGACTTAGGAAATATGCCAGATTGGGAATGGAGATAATTTAATCTCTCTGTATGTTAATTTCGGTTTTTTTTTTTTTTTTTTCCTGCAACGTGAGGCCCTGGAAACCTTACTTCACCCCTAGGAAAGGCAGTTCTGGGTTTTGCTGAAGGGAGTTAGGGGAATTCACCCTACACAGCATGCCCAGGACACTTTCCTGGCAAAAGCAGATCCACCCTCAGAGTCTGGGGTCACCTGATCACGCAGCCAGGTGCACACGGAGACCGCTGGTGCCGAGGTCTCGGTCACCTTGTCCAGATGTTTCTCGGCACATGCCCAGGAGGCTGCGGGTTTCCCTGCAGCCAGGGCGTTCTTAGTCCTGCGTGCAGTGCTCACAGCCATTCCTCAGAGGCGCACAGGGTCGCTCCTGTCCCTGGCCTCCTGGTCCCGGGGCTGGGTATCTCCGCTGGTGACACTGTCGAGGGGGGAGCGGCCGTGGCTGGTCACGTTGAGCCCGTGGGCTTGCTGCCCCTACTCCCGGTTTCCCCGCGGCCCCGCCCCTACCCAGGTGTAGGTTCTCGTCCAGGCAGGTGCGAAGGCCCGACCCTTGCGGAGGGAAAGCCTCTGCAGCCTCTCCTCTCCACCTGGACCCGAGACTCCCCGTGCTGGCGTGGCAGGGGTGCGCCCGCCCGGACTGGACAGCTGGGACCCGAGCAACCGAGCCGGGGCAGCCACGTGGCGGCGGGGCGGGGACCGGGCGGGCGCGGCACTGGAAGCTGGCTGTCCCGGGAGCAGGTGAGGACGGAAGAGCTGTGGGGGGTGGAGAGGGTGGTCTCCCGACTGTTACTCTCCCCGGGAGGGTCCCCGGCCCGCGTTAGGGGCAGGTCTGGGGTCACCTTTGCCCCCATCTCCCTGCCCAGGTGGATCCTCCCCTGCCGCCTGCCACCTGCGCGCCCGCACACGGCCTGGCCCCAGAACTTGGGGTGAGGGTTCGCGTCTGCGTAGAGTGTCAAGGGGCCTGGGTCCCAGAGCGGCCCAGACGCGAGGGTCGGGGCTCCGCGGGGCGGCGGGAAGGGCGGGCGGAGGCCTGGGATCCCTTGCTCTATGCGGCGTGGGCAGCCGGGGACACCCGGGCGTTCTGGGCCCCTACCTTTCACCCTGTTTTGTCAGGAATGCAGCCCACCAAGTCCCCCAGCTTCCCACTGGGCAAACGCTGCTCCCCCAGCCCTCAACTCTTAGTGCTCCGGGAGCCTTCCCTCCTCGCCAGCGCCGGCTGCTGATTTTAGTCGCCTTCTTCCCAGGACGACCAGCTCCACCCCTCAGCCTTGCTCTCTTCCTCCCCTTTCCTCCTCCTCCCAAAGTGTCCTGAGCCCCGTCTTGCAGCACTGTGCTGGGGAGAGGGGCCACACAGATCAGGGGGCAAAATCCCTGCCCCAAGGGAAGCCAGGTCCAGCGTGAAGGGGAGAGTGCCTGGGGGTGGGATGGGGAACTGCCCTGGTCCTGACCAGCCTTTTCTCGTCCACCCTCTTCACTCCCCTGCCCTTCTCCAGCCCTGCTCGCTCCAGAGGGGCCTCAAGACAGCCTCCTCATGGCCCCTCTTTCCTCTGCTCATGGCGCAGCTGCATTCACTCACCACCTGCAGCCAGGTGTAGTGAGTCATGGTGCCCTCGGCCTAGACAGCCAGGCCCAAGAGGCACCTGGAGGTGGGAGAGGAGTGTGACTGTGTGTCCTCAAGGGCTGGGCAGCCCAGCAGCTGGCTCTGACCCTCACATGCTGAAGGAGCTCAGGGAAGGACAGAGCTGGGAGTGCCTGAGGCTTTAGGGCAGCAAGGTTCCAGCACAGGTGGGCTCTGAAGGACCAGCGGGATCTATTTGGGTACCAGAAAGGTAACCCCGCCAAGTTTCCAGATGAGGTAGACAAGGCCCCTCCTCACTCAGCCAGGTAGTTTGAACAATTCTGGTAGAGAGAAAGAATGGACAGCAAGGAGAGAGGAGAAAAGGAGCCAGCCTGACCAAGGATGGTGTTACCTTCCAGAGGGGTCTCCCCACCCAGACCACCAGGATCCCCGTTTGCTGGAGAATGACCCAGATGCCCCAGGTGCAGGAGCTCTTCCATGAGGCAGCCCAGCAGGTAGGCCCGGCATGTGCGGAGGTCTGCGATGGAGGCCTGTGAGCATGGGGTCCCCAGACAGCGGGCTGGATGCAAACATCACAGTGCCCTTTACATGTGATTATCCCCAAACTCTATTGTGGTAGTCCAGTTTAATGAGAAAAGATTATAGCCAACTCTTAACCATTCATATACAGAAAATCTTTGGCATTATTTGCAGTGGATTTTGAATCCTGGGCTCCCCCACAATCCTGAACCCTGTCTTGAGAGGTCTTCCATGGACAGTCACAGTGAGGACTCAGAGAATATGAACTCATTTTAATTCTGAATCAAACCAATGTAAGGTGGTAAATTTATTCCTGAAAATCTCTTATGTTCTGAAGCCGAATGGATTTCTGGATGCCCTGGTATTTTCTGTTTTCTGTTGGGTTTTTTTTTTTTTTTTCTTCTTTATCTTCTCCCTGCTGATCATTAATTACAGTAAATATGTATTCTGTAGATATGGAATTGAAGTGGTTCTCCCCAGAAATAGAGAGCTGATCCCTTAAGAAATTAAAAAAAAAAAAAAAGCCGGGTGCAGTGGCTCATACCTGTAATCCCAGCACTTAGGAAGGCCGAGGTGGGTGGATCACAGGGTCACGAGATCGAGACCATCCTGGCCAACATGGTGAAAACCCATCTCTACTAACAGTACAAAAATTAGCTGGGCTTAGTGGTGCACGCCTATAGTCCGAGCTACTCAGGAGGCTGAGCCAGGAGAATCACTTGAACCCATGGGGGCAGAGGTTTCAGTGAGCTGAGATCATGCCACTGTACTCCAGCCTGGGTGGCTGAGCATTTTGAGATGAGGATAAAATATATATATATACTAAGGTGTTTATCCAGAAACTACGTGCACCCAGGGTCATTGCCATCCATGGTGACTTGACATGAAGTTTTCACTATCCCTTGGACTTCTGTCCTGCTTTCTAAAGAGGAGCAGGAGGGTTTCCCAGCCTTATGATAGGGGAACAAGCCCCACCAGAGGGGAGAGAACCATCATGAAAAAGAAATGGAAAATGTGAGGCCCCAGGGATTCCCAAGGGAGAGACAAATAAGACATTCTGGGTTCTCCTCTGTGAGAGAATCTGTTCCTCTCTCCCCTGTTTAAAACCTTCCATGTCTCCTCATGTGCACCACTCAGGGCTCAAACTCTTCAGCCACAGCCCTACACAGTCTGACCCCACCTGAGTCTCAAGTTGGGTTCCCCACATCTTCCTGTCATACCTTCCAGCCAAACCACACCATTCCCCAGGGCTTGTATCTTTCCCTTGATCTTTGCTGATGCTTCTTATCAATGATTCACCATTGAAACCTTCACCCAAGGCAGTACCTGGTATTTAAGTGGACAGAAAATGTCAGTTGATTCACCACACGAACTAACAACAGATAACTACAATGCAGGTTAAATTGTTATAAGTGCCCTACAAGAGTGGTTTCTAAAATGTGATGGATACAATGACCTCTGTGTTGCCTCCTTCTCCCTTAATATCTAAACAGTGAAGAATTGGACACTGCCCAACACCCAATTTTAAGGCCTTTGGTGTTCATAATTTAGAAATCTATCCTTTCATGAGTTCGTGTCCTTTTCAGGGACATGGATGAATCTGGAAACCATCATTCTCAGCAAACTGACACAAGAACAGAAAACCAAACACCGCATGTCCTCACTCATAAGTCGGTGTTGACCAATGAGAACACATGGACACAGAGAGGGGAACATCACACACTGGGGTCTGTTGCGGGGTGGAAGGGTAGGGGAGAGATAGCAGGGGGGTGGGGAGATTGGGAAGGGATAGCATTAGGAGAAATACCTAATGTAGGTGATGCGGGGTATGGAGGCGGCAAACCACCATGGCATATATATTCCTGTATAACAATCCTGCAATATCTGCACATGTACCCCAGAACTTAAGGTATAATAATAATAAAAAAGAAATCCATCCTTTCTTTCTCTTTCCCTCCCCTGCACTGTCTTGTTAAGGGTACCATTTCTTGATTGGATGATTCATACTCTCCTAACTTCTTTTTCTACATTGCTACTAAAGTGATTCTTTTATGAAGCGTGAGTCTGTGTGTTTGACCCCTCTGCTTAAATTCCTTCAATAGTTTCTCACTGCCTTCAGAATTCAGCTCAGACTCCTCATCTTTGCCCCCAGGACCCTCAGTGATGGTTAACTCACCCCTCCTGTTCCCACAGCATCTTGTATCACTGCACTTACCACGTAGCATTGAAGTGAGCTATTTCTTTTCTGTCTCCCTTAAGGCTGTGAACTTAAATTCAGGGGCCTGTCTTATTTATTTTTGTATCCCCAATACCTGGCATGGTGGGTGGTGCATAGAAGATGCTCCATTGGCATTGGTTCTACTGAACTGAACTCACCTGGCTAGGAATTGGGGGAGTTGCCACTTGCATTAAGTCTTCAAGTAATGGTGGAAGTGGAACATAGGGTGGACTTGGGAAGCATATTCTGGATGGGAGGGTGAGAAAATGATAATAGCTACCAATTATTGGGCCCTTACTGTATACTGAGCACTTAATATACATTACCTCATTTATCTCCATTACAGCATTCTGAAGTTGATATAATTATTTTGGTGTGACAGACTAACTGCAGCACTGTAAAGCCAGGCACGTTTGATGCCAAGGCCCAGGCTTTCATCCTGTTTGCTATGTGCCTCCTGCTCCAAATGGCATAAGCAAAGCCACCCAGATGGTAAATCAAGGGCCTCTGTGGGGGAACAGAGAGTAGGTTAGGTAGCTAACATGCTGGAAGCTGAACTCTAGGAGTGGCTGTCCCTCAAGAAATTTTCTGTGAATCTTTTAAAATGTTATTTCAGCCTTGGGGATTGGAAATTCTGCTAGGAGATTTGGGGCCTGCAGAACACAAGATTAGGAAGCAGTGCCCAGTGGGAAGACAGGCTAGTGGGTGTCATGCCACCTTCAGTCTTGACCTGCTCTTCTCTTGCTCACAGTGGTTATAAAGTAGCTCACAGGAAGTTTGGCAAGGGTGGAGTCACTTGGAAGTTAGGTGGAGGGGTGAATGAATGGATTCTTGGTTTGGTTTTAATCATTTTAGGACCACATAGGGTAGCTGTGTGTGTGTGGTATAGACTGGTCAGTAATAAGTGGACCATCTGGGAAGGAGCTGTAGATCTGAGTGTTAACGGTGTGGTTGTCGAGGGCGCATGTGCTGCCTGGGTCAAGTCCTGGCTCTAATGCTTTGTAACCTTGAACAAGTTTTGTAACCTCACTAAGCTTCCATTTCCTCACCTATAAAATGACTGCCCAATGATTGAAACCACCGTAGAGTATGAAGACAATTAAAAGAGATAATTTGTATAAATATTTGGTATAGTGCTTGGTTCCCGGTCAGCATTCAGTAAATGGCTAATAATAAAACTAAGGTGGGGAGTATGCTTTTAATCCATTGGGTACTGGTACAAATGAGCAGAAGGATCCATTGGCAAATAAATGCATGACTCAGCACAGCTGAGTCAGACAGAAGACCTAAGGCAGGAGTCTCAAACCTAGAATTATACCTTTGGCCAACACCAGAATGTGAGATATTGTTCTGGACAACCTGCTGGGTGGGCAGTCTGTTGAGGAGGATGGGTGCTTTCTAGGCCTGAGTGAGTCTGGAGTGGTTTGGGAATAAGAGTGTATGTTTGGAGACTCACGGAACCTCTGGCAGGCCGAGTCTTGTTCCAGCGGCCTCTGTCTGGAGGCACTTTACTGAGTGTGCTTTGGTGGTAGACTCAAACCTGGGTTCCAGGTTCCTTATTGTGACTGTACCACTGGATAGGCTGGGCCCTTGGGCCAGTTACCCACAGGCTCCCAGTCTATTTCCACAACTATGTGATGGAGTGAGTGGACCTGATTCTCAGGGTTTTTACAAGCCTAAAGGAGATGCCGTATGTGGAAGGGTCTGGCCCAGTGCCTGTCACATAACAAGCACTAAGCAAAATGCTCGTTTGATGATTGGCTGAAGCTGACTTCACATGGAAACCCAGCGGAGTAGGCTGTGAAACTTGGGGCTGGAAAACTAAGAAAGGAGCAGCTGTGCAGAGGGAGGCGAGCTGAAGGCTAACGAGCCGAGATTGCGTGCTTGTCTCTGCCAGGTACTGGACAGACGGGACTGAGACGATCAGGGTGTTTCAGGAAGATGAAGTTGGCAGGAGAAAGCAGGTAGCCTGAGACAAGAACAGATGGCAAGCTGACAAGCTGTGTGGAGGTCTGAAGTCCAGCAGAATCTCTTTCTCTTAGCATCAGGAATAGGGAGAAAATTTGGTTTCATTTACCAGGTGTTTATTGAATGACAGTTCTTGCCAGGATCTCCAGCTCCTGCTGGAGATATTAAAACAAATACAAAAACAACAGCAATCTCCTAGTTCTTATGGACTAAGAAGTGCCTCCAGCTAGCCAGCTAGTCTTCCTTCTCTCAGGGTGGGAGGGTCTCAATAGGAAAGTGAAGCTGGCCTGAGAATGAGAATTGCTTGAACCTGGGAGGCGGAGGTTGTGGTTAACTAGCACACCGAATTCATGCTCTTTCTTCTGCATTCTGCTTTACTCCAGAGACTTGAACTCTAGCAGTAGTGGGTCCATGTAGACCCTTTTCTAGGAGGCCTGCAGGCCAAAGTCTGGCTAATTGCTCTAGAAAAAGCCTGCTGCAGCCCACAGGTGTAGGCGTCCCATCGCAACCATTGTGTCTGGCCTGAGTGCAGGAGCAGGTGTTTCCAGTTCGCTGAAGCCTGCCTGGGTTCTGACTCTGCTCCCTGTTTTCTTGTACAGTGTCCCAGCTCTTTCCCTCTGTGTCCTCTCCTCCCTCTCTCTCTTGTGGTTTGGATCTGCGTCCTCGCCAAATCTGCTGGTCAGTTGTAATCCCCAGTGTTGGAGATGGGGCCTGGTGGCAGGTGATTGGATCGTGGGGGTGCTTCTCATGAATGGTTTAGTACCAGCCCCTTGATGCTGTTCTGATAGT